ATTAGGCATTTAAAAGACCATTTTATGGACGTGTGTTCTCGTAAATGAGACGAACATTTTGATAGATTATACACAAAAAGTGGTTAACGGGTGAATTTGAAATTAATTTTTAAAGTTGACATATTGTAATTAATTTTCCTATGTGTGAAGTGTCGCGCATAGGAAACTTGCCCCATAGGTGCTCTACTTTAAATATGGGAGCATTAAATAGTTTTTTATAAAAAATTTTATGAGGGTTGCAAAAAGAAAGTTTACGGGCACCGCCGCCGTTATCGTCTATTCTGCTCGGCATGCCAAGACACGCACATGCATGTGGGACACCGGACACGGGCCCTTGGCGTTTGGGCGAAGCTCCGTTTTCCGGGCTCTTTGGTGGTGGCCTAATTATTTTTGGACCAACCTTCTACTGTTTTTATATATTTATCTCTAATGTTCTCTAATGACTTTGAGCACTCTTTGGGAAAAGTTATCTGACTAATACATGCGGAGTATGATTATTTACATACCTCCACCAATCCAAAATGTAAGGGGGAGTTTGACTGCATGATTTGATTGTGCTTCTACAAAATAATAGAATAGAGATCTGCCATAGTGATCATCTGATATGATATAACCAGAGTATTGTTTGAAATTAACTTTCTCAGGTTGTCCAGGTAGAGAATTAATTATCTCTGCGTCTGTTATTGCCAAGAAGAGGGAACACAGAGTATTAAATAAGATGAACCACAGGACTGCCATTTTGTTATAAACTCAGATTTGTTTATATATTTAAAGCACCATTTTTTTGTGTGAAAATAATGAAACAAATGTTGAATTAATGAATAGCAGTATGAGTGAGTATTTCCTAAGAAATGGCAACTAAAGTCACGGAATATGCATGAGATTGACAACCATATATTACTCAAGTACACAAATATTCCGTTTAACTTGGAGCTTCATGTGAATTGGCATGTTAATTAATGTCAACAAAAAATTGTTTTCTATATAATGGGTTCCATAATATACACAAATACAATTTTATTGACAAGCGGTCACTAACGATACTTGGTAGAGATATTCTTATTTGATAATATTACCAAATATTTATCTTACTTAACATTAAGATTAATATTTCTTTTACCAAATATTATACGCCAAACATTAGCATTTTACAATACATTTTGAAAGAGTCTGGTTGAGCAGATCACAATATTATTACTCCATCTGTCCCGAATCCTATTTTGATTTTACGCAGTTTAAGAAAAGTGTTGAAAAGTAAAAAATGGGTGGATGACATTTGATTAGAGGAAGGAGAAAGATGGTGGACCACATATTTTTTAGTTTTTTAGGAAAGCGAAGAAGTGAGAATTATTTGGCGTGCCCCGCATCAAGACGCCGAGCTCCACGACCTGACACCCTTTTATTTATTTTTTCTTTTTTTTCTTCTTCTCCTTTTCTTCCTTAGTTCCTTCCTTCTTTTTCTCCTCTACTTCTCTGACTCTTGGATCTTCTTCTTCTCCTTCGGTTTCTGTTTCTTTTTTTCAGTTTTGCCTCTTGATCTTCTATATCCGATTCCTTTCCCTATTTTTATTAGCTTGTTTAGTTTTAATTTTTATATTTTTTAGTTTCTATTATCAATTTTTGTTCTTCAATATTTCAATCAAATCTGACCTCCTTAAATCAAACTTTCAATTTTAATTCTTTTTATTTTCTAGTTTTGATTTTCGGTTTTCTTAATTTTTAATTTCAATTTTTTTAATATACTTTAAAACTACGAATATATAATATTATAAAAGTAATATTTGAAAACAAAATTTAAAAAACTGAATGGGGATCCGCACTCCTCATTGTGGACGACATGAGGATGAAATGGGGAAAGATGATGTGGCGCTGAGTTGGAAGTGAGGATGGTGGTGATCACCAGCCTTATGATCTTTATGCTGCCAATGATTATGCCGAGTTGATTATAACCCAAGTTATTTTGAAGGGAGAAAATTATGAAGAATGGGCAAGAGTATTATGCACCACTCTTCGGGCTAGGAAAAAGTTTGGATTTGTTGTTCTATTTTGATGCCAACAAACTTTTAAGATCTTGAAGATCGGTGGATCAATAATTCTATATTAATCTCATGGATATGGGATACAGACCCTTTGAGATCCACATATTTCCCATATGGAGTTGGAAAACGAGTTGTGAGATGATATCAAATCCCAATTTTCCGTTAATGATCCTCGTATTCAACAACTCAAGGGGGAACTGCGAAGTTTACACAATGGGGACATGCCACATTGTGAATGTTGGTTGAAATATTTGGTAAATTAGGTTGAGGGAAAAATTTGTTGGGATATCTTCCTATTTATTAAATATTAATTATGTTGGAGTCTATTTTATTTTTTGGAGTGAAGAAAATAAAACAAATAAAGAAAATAACAGGTGATGTGACATGTGAATGGAATCAAAAGAAGGAAAATGGGATGGTAAGGCGCCGAAAGAGAAAGAAAGATAGAAGAGAAATTAAACATAGGCGAAAAGGAGTCATGAATGGTGAAGCATCTCATTACCAAGGTCAAGAATATATACATGCTACATGATGGACCCGTAGGCAGTCCAGTAAACTGAATAAACTAAGCCTATTTACTAGACATGAAGAATATCACTAACACTCTCCCTCAAATTAGGGCATGACTATCATGAATGCTCAACATGGATAGTAAAGAATAAAAAATAGGCCTAGATAATGCTTTAGTAAACAAATATGCAAGTTGAAGTCGTGTAGGAATATAACGAGTGGAAACTTCATGCCGCTGAATACACTCGCGAACAATGTGGCAGTCGAATCAATGTGTTTCATGCATTCATGGAACACAAGGTTGGTGGCAATAAATAAAGCAGATTGATTGTTACAATATAGGTGTGGATGTAGAATCAGAACGCTAATAGCCTGTAGAATGTGATGGATCCCATAGCCTGGTACTCTACCTTGGCAAAAGAATAAGATAGTAGTCTGCTTTTTAGTTTTCTAGGAGGTGGGAGAGCCACCTAACATAATGAAATACCTACACACAGAGCGCCTAGAAATAGGACAACTAGCTTAGCCAGAATAACAATAAGCATCAAGCTTCAAATTGCGGTCACTACGAACAGTCCGAAGTAAAATGCCCCGGCCCGGTCGTCCTTTTAAGTAACGAAAGACCCGCATAGCAGCAGCCATATGAGTAAAGCTAAGAACCAGCATAAATGAGACAAAACATGAGCTAAATATGCCAAATCTGGCTTGGTAATAGTCAGATAGATCAAGCAGCTCACAATACGACTGTAATGCGCCTGATCACAAAACTCAGCATTAGTAGAACATGCGAGTCCATGATTTGGCTGAAGAGGTGTATCAGCTGGCTAACAACCCAAAAAATCAGCCTAATGCAGAATATCCAAAGCATATTTGTGTTGGCACAACATCATATCAAATGGCGATCCAGCACACTCAATCTCTAGAAAATACTTCAAAGGGCCAAGATCTTTTAAATGAGAGCAATTATCCAAATACTTTTTAAAGGAAGAGCAGAGAGCATTGTTGTTGCCTGCAACCAAAATAGCATCAACGTAAACTAATATTGTCTAAATATCAAGCCCGTGCCTAAAATGGCTAACAATAAAAAGTGTGATCCTTATGGGCTTGGCGGAAACCATCCCGACATTGTGCAATACTAGTTTAGCAAACTAGTTGCTGCAAGGCACAAACCATAAAGGGACTTCCTCCAACGACAAACTTTTCTTGGGTAGAGATGAGAGTACCTATGAGGCAGCCTCACAACACCTCGTGAAGGTCACCTATTTTTTCTCTTTTCAATCAACTCCATATCACTCAAATATATTACAGTATATAGTATATAAAAACACATTATACTAGATGGAGATGTGAAAAAAATATGAAATAAAATACTTTTATTTATTAAAAATATCTAGTAATTTAATATAAATATTATTATTTTAATTATAGTTGACTGGGCCGTTGACCTGGGTTTGACGGATTCAACTGGTTAATTAACCCTTGACCCACTCGCTTTCCCGAACAACGTCCAGTTCGATTTTCAGAACATTGGTTCTAACATGATGAAAGAGGAAAAAAGGTTCGTTCACAAGGTGATGTGAGATATTTGGTAAATTGGGTTGAGAGAGAAATTTGTTGAAATATCTCCTCAATTATCAAATATTGATTATGAGGATAGATGTGCAGAGAAATTTTCATTTCATTTCATGCAATATTTTTTAAAAGGATTAATTATGTTTTTAGTCCCTATAAAAATAGTGACTATTGTTTTTGGTTCCCATATTTTTTTATGTTTAAGTCTTAAAATGACCCTTAAACGTAATTAAGACTTAAAATTTGTTGAGATATCACATTTATTTCTTATTCAATTACCTCAGACCCAATTCTTATGCCCTAAATTGTGTCCTTCATTGAATTACATCCCCAACTCCCAAATTTTATAATGCTATATTCTCCAAAAAATTGGAATCTGTAGAGTTTATATGAATAAGCATACACTTTCAGGCACGGGTCTTATGTTGGAACTTGGAAGAAATTAGAAATGCAATACTTGGATATTGAGTATGAAATATGGAGTAAATGTGTAAGATCAACTAGATAGAAGTGCTAATTACGTTTAAGCATCATTTTCAAAATAAATTTTTTTTGTAAGGATGACTTGAGCAAAAGAAATTGTACATAGACAAAAAAATCGTCTATTTAACAGAGACTAGAAACATATTTAACCCTTTTTTAAATTATGTTTTTTCCATTTTTTTTCATTTCTAAAGCATAACTGTAAGAACTAATATAATGTGTAATATGCTACATACAAGTTTCCAATAAGATTACTCAACAATATGTTTTTCTACATTATATATAATGTACTCCCTCTGTCCCATAAAGTCATTCCTATTTGAAAAAAGGCGCACCCTTAAAATAAGTAGTTTTAGTGTTATTTTCTAATTTTTCCCTTACTTTATAATAGAGTATGACGAAATGTGTAGGATACATGTATTATATTTAGAAAATAACAACAAAATTACTCATTTTAAAGGACTGCATTTTTCAAATAGGAAGAGTTTTATGGGACGGAAAGAGTATGTAGTTTGTACACGCATGTGAATCTGTAATATGAAGCGAGCAATTAGGGAGCCACTTATGGAGGAGATCCCTTTAGAAAAGATTTGAAAAGCGTGAATGCTTGGGACGGAGAGCTAGATGGAGCAAAATGAGATCCACCCTTCACCGAAGCAAATGTCAAGTATGTGATGTTTTTCCCTTCCCTCAAATGTCCATATGACTCACTCCATCCTCCAACCTAAAACAAAGTAATTTGAATCACTATTAAATGGTCTTTTCTATCATTTAACATTATTTTTCAACGTATGAAATTTATAAACCAAACAATTGATTAATAACAGGACTGATTTATTCTGAAATCAAGTGCGCCTTACTAACTCTATAGGGTGTTGATGATCTCAACCTTTAAATCTTGAAGTACATAGTTAACAAATTAATTAGAATGACCAATATGCATCAGTTTAGTGCCTGCAAGTGGTCGGTGAATATGATTCCATTTTAATGAATATTGTCAATATACAAAGCAAACACTTAAAAGTCAAAATCTCATCTTCTTCTCTCTATTCTCTCTCATCTGTTAGTAAAGCTAGAGGAGAAGAAAATTGTTAAGAGTAAAAACCCATTCTCTTGGTGGAGGTCTTGTTCGATGAATTAAGGCAAGCAAAGTGGTTCAGAAAGTTACTATGTCCCCTCGTTTTCTCAGTATGACAAAAAGCATTTAGATAAATCTCACATTAAGACTAACCCTTCATCTCTCTCTCTCTCTCTCTAAGTTTTGTTCATTATGGAAATAGTATGGGCAGTTAGGTGGTCAACAACAACAAACCCAATAGAATTCTACAATCTCACCAAAGTAGAGTTTAGGAAAGGTGTGTGTACACCAACAAAGACCTTACTGCTACTATAAAGTCCTCAAAAAAGGGCTTTCACTAACCAAAACAAAAGAAGAATACAAACCACTTATAACAGTGTGAGTTATTATAGATTAAGCAAAATGATTAAAGGATATAGGACTAATTTAAAAACAAAAATGAATATGGTGCCAACAACACTAGGGAAATGAAGTGAGGGCCATTGTACCATGGTCCATTCTTCCGCAAATGGATGAGCTTCAAGTCTTTAGCAAGCATATGAGCTAATTTCCGAGTCTCTTCGACGGGATAAGTTGTATCTTGATCTCCACTGCAATAGCTTGTTAAAATCAGCATACCTTCAAAAGTCATAACTAGCTAGAGGTAGAAGTATAGGCTTTCTTTTAGATTGTTTATCACCCTCATACAAGATACTGCAATCATCATATCATCCATATACACTTAGAGTAAAAAAATTATAAGAGATTTTGCATTTCTGGAAGTAAAATAACACCACAAATCTTTTTTCAATCTTGTGAAAATCTCTCTTGCCAATGAACAAGTCAAACTTCTTTTTCCACTGTCTTGATGCAACAAAACTCAATATGATTTAAATAATAGGTAGTTTCACAACAAGAGAAATTATTAACATGTTTGTGAGTATCATATTTCATATCCTATAACCACAATTGACCCTTGAACCTCCCCTTTCCATCCAGTTTAGCCTTGATTCTGAAACCCACTTGTTTAACAAAACTCTCTTCCATGCACGTAACTATTAGAAGTAATGATAGAATGAATTCACAGCTCAAATATTCATCTTATTGAATACATCTCTAATGATGTCTATAAATATTACAAAGTTACTAATGGAGACAATCAAGGAAAGTGAGTGGAAGTTAATCAAATATCTTGATTGGTAATTTGATTCCAATCAAGGATATCATCAAGATATTACACTATTCTACACTATTCTTCTTTTTGTTTGATATTTCTAACACTCCCCCTCAAGTTGAATCATCCGTTTCGGATGTTTAACTTGCTTAATGTTGCTTGAAAGACTCCAGCTGGCACTGCTTTTGTGAGAATGTCTGCCAATTGATCTTCAGATCGGACATATGGAAGACTAATGATATCTGCCTCGAGTTTCTCTTTGATGAAGTGACGATCAATCTCGATGTGCTTGGTACGATCATGTTGTACTGGATTCTCTGATATACGAATAGCAGCAGTATTATCGCACATCAGTCTACATTTACCCTTCGGCGGATACCCCAAATCTTTAAGGAGTTTTCTTA